CACTGATGATCATGCCCTGATGATCGGTGCCCAGCAGTGGCCCCCGCAAGTTCCGATCAGCTGTGCGCCCACTAGCCCCGCCCACCCATTCCCAGCAGTGCCCCCACCTGTGCCCAGCAGTGCCCCCACCTGTGCCACTCTGCAGTGCCACCTACCTGTGCCCACAGTGCCACCTACATGTGCCCAGCAGTGCCACCCACCTGTGCCCACCCACCTGTGCCCACCAGCGCCACCCACCTGTGCCCACCAGTGCCACCCACCTGTGCCCACCCACCAGTGCTGTCCACCAGTGCCACCCACCAGTGCCACCCACCAGTGCTGCCAGTCAGTGCCACCAGTCAGTGCCCAGGGGTTGTGCAGTCAGTGCCGCCAGTCAGTGCCCAGAAGTGATGCCAGTCAGTGCCGTCTATCAGTACCCATCATCAGTGTCACCTATCAGTGCCGCCTATCAGTGCTGCATATCAGTGCCGCCTATCCGTGACCCCTAATTAGTGCTGTCTATCAGTGCCGCCTATCCGTGCCACACCTCATTAGTACTGCCTATCAGTGCCCTTTAGTGCTGCCTATCAGTGCCCATCAGTGCCGCCTATCCAGTGCCCATCAGTGCCGCCTCATCAACGCAAATCAGTAAAGGAGAAAAAATACCTGTTTGAAAATTTTATAAAAGAAACAAATAAACTTTTTTTTTTTTTTCTAATTTTTTTTGCACTTTTTTTTAATTTATAGCGCAAAAAGTAAAGCGCCCCAGTGGCGATTAAATACCACCAAAAGAAAGCTCTATTTGTGAGAAAAAAATGATCAAAATTTCATATGGGTACAATGTTGCATGACCCGCGCAATTGTCAATCAAAGTGCGGCAGCGCTGAAAGCTGAAAATTGGCCTGGTAAGGAAGGGGGTATAAGTGCCTGGTAGGCAAGTGGTTAACAATGGGCACTATTCCTCACTGACAACATAAATGAGACATAATTTCTGCGAATGACACCAACAACTGGGGGCACTATTCCTCCCACTAACACCAATGATGGAACGCTATTTCCCCACTGACACTAATGATGGGGCATTATTTCTCCCACTGACACCAATGATGGGGCAGTATTCCTCCCACTGACACCAATGATGGGGCAATATTCCTCCCACTGACACAATGATGGGGCAGTATTCCTCCCCCACTGACACCAATGATGGGGCACTATTCCTCCCACTGATACCAATTGGATGGGGCAGTATTCCTCACACACTGATGCCAATGATGGGGCACTATCCTCCCACTAACACCAATGATGGGGCAGTATTCCTCACACTGACACCAATGATGGGACACTTTCCTCCCACTGATACCAATGATGGGGCAGTATTCCTCACACTGACACCAATGATGGGTTACTATTCCTCACACTGACGCCGCAATGATGGGGCACTATTCCTCCCACTAACGCCAATGATGAGGCAGTATTGCTCCCACTGACACCAATGATGGGGCAGTATTCCTCACACTGACACCAATGATGGGACACTATTCCTCCCACTGATACCAATGATGGGGCACTATTCCTCACACTGACGCCAATGATGGGCACTATTCCTCCCACTGACGCCAATGATGAGGCAGTATTCCTCCCACTGACACCAATGATGGGGCAGTATTCCTCCCACTGACACCAATGATGGGGCAGTATTCCTCCCACTGACACCAATGATGAGACACTATTCCTCCCACTGATACCAATGATGTGGCAGTATTCCTCACACTGATGCCAATGATGGTGCACTATTCCTCCCACTGACACCAATGATGGGGCACTATATTCCTCCCACTGACACCAATGATGAGGCAGTATTCCTCCCACACTGACACCAATGATGGGGCAGTATTCCTCCCACTGACACCAATGATGGGGGCAGTATTCCTCCCACTGACCACCAATGATGGGGCACTATTCCTTCCCCCTAATACCAGTGATGGGGCATTGTTTACTCCCACTGGTCACAGTCCGACCCCCCTAAAGTATGAACCACAGTAAACTTGTTAAGAAAGTTTGGAGATCCCTGAACTACAGAAATGTAAAATATTTTTTAAAACAAGTAAATACAACATACCTTCCTATCTAATTACTAATTATATTAGAATAAGGATTAAAAATAGTTAATGCTGGTTGAGAGAGTAAAGTTCTGCTTTAAATAACAAATCATGTTTTGATCATCTTCCATATGTTCTTTATAAGAATCTTATCCACATAGAAATATGGGAGTTGGATTTTCTAACGTATTTTGGAAGGTGCACTTTGCTGCTCTGCAAGAGGGATGGCATTCTCTCCTGTCAACAGTGCTGTACCGCATAGAGGACAGAACAAAACGTTCAAATCATTTTGGGGCACAGAACTGTCACCCTATGTCAACGCTATGGGACAGCACATCTCTGAATGCCAAAGACCACTCGGTCCATAGCAAGTTCCCTCATACATGGAGGATTGTTGGGGATCCTTCGGGAAGCAGCTTGCCACGGGATACTTACCCCAGTGGGGAAAGTGCAATTAGACCATTTTAGGTGGAAAACAAAGGCGAGCACATATTTTGGCTGGTGATGGGACACAAGCTGTTTTACACCTAACACTTAAGCGCACAGGAAAAATCAAGATGGTTGGATTTATACTGATCATATGGATTAACATGGAAGTCGCACACTATTTACACATATAGACTGTTTTGTTTGGACTGGGGATTTCCACCACTCTTTCACTATTGAGTTATATTGTATGCCATTTTTTGCATTTATTGCCATCCTCTCCAGGTTAGGGGTTCTCACCATCTTTCATCAGGGTTATTTCCATTCATTTTCTATATATGTGGATGCTTTATATTGTATGTTCATCATTTGTATTTTTACGGTCACACCAAGTCCAGTATTTGCACATATATCTTTTACTTGGTATTCTGAAGTATATGTATGATTTTGCAGAGATTATTATTTGCAGCTTAGACACACAGTTCACTAGAGGTTTATTTCTGAGATACTAGAGGGTCACACCAATATTTGTAATAAGGTAGCCTTACAGTTTTTCAATCTTTCTCAGCCTTTCTTTGCTACTTAAGAAGTAAAACAATGCTTGATTAAATTGTTTAATTTGAGAGTTAGACTGTCTGTGGAGGGTGCAGTTTCAGCAGGTGGCCATACTGGGTGGAAGGACTGCTCTCTAAAGGAGGTATGTTAATGCATTAATGTGCCACTCTCCACTTTTACCAATAGAATTCATAAATATGTGCAATTTCACTCAAATAATATATAAGTATAATTTTACATAAATCCACTATATAAATAACAAAAAATGTCCATACAAAATTCTTCACAATTCTTGTGTTCACTTTAATATTTATATTTAGTGCTTCTTAATACACCGTCAGTGTCAAAATTCACTTAAAAAAATCATTCCCCCTGATGAAGCCATGTGACCCAGTGGTGTAATGCATAGGGGATGGACTTTGACGTCATGACGCTCGATGGTTCTATAGTGACATCAGCTGGCTACACACAGAATATCACTACTGCTAAAATTCAATTTATTGCACAAAGCTCTTCTGTATATTGATCATGTGAGTGTACTGCTTTATACTAATAAATGAGTGTTTAAGGATAAAGCACTATGATCTGGTTATTCTCTTAACATACCCATCGATGGAGGACAGCCACTAGATGAGTGAAGGGGATCCTGTTCAGCTGGATACCATCCCATCCAGGGGCGGACTGAGAACTCATGGGGCCCCCGGGCAATAGGGGATCATGGGGCCCCTGTGTCCTTGCCCGCACTCAAAGCCCACCCAAAAAATCCTATAAAAGGTAACAGGGGCATTTCATGGGGCCCCCTACTGACCCCGGGCACTCGGGCAGTGCCCAAGTGCTCGAATGGTCAGTCCGCCCCGATCCCATCCACACTTGATCCAATTAAAGGAACTCAGGCTCTATATGACCTCACTTAACGGTTTGGTCATATATTTGAGGTGGGAGCACAACTAGTGGGGGTGTACAAGTTTTGAAGTGAATTTTGACACTGAAGGTGGATTAAAAATAACTAAATATAAATAATAAAGTGAACACAAGAAGAATTGTGAAGAATTATATATGGACACATTTTTGCTATTTATATAGTGGAGTTATGTAAAATTGCACTTATATATTATTTGAGTGAAATTGCACATATTTATGAATTCTGTTGGTAAAAGTGGATCTTGGCACATTTTGGTAATATGTGTAGTAGGAACATTTGTATGAGTATGTGTTAGGTGTAGGAGATCCACTAATTTGTATTTTGGTTTGACACAAAGTATCTGATATAGCAGCTCAGAAGTCTTGATTATAATGTCAATGCATAAAGCAGTGCCTAAAGCGGTAGTAAACAGCAGCTTGAAAAAAAAACCTACAAAATCTCTGCAAGGTAATGTCATAATGTCTTAGTATGCATCGCATGTTAGCACATTATGGTCTTACCCTAAAATGAAGCCCTCCAGCAGCACGTGGACCCCACTGCAGAGGCTTCCATCTTCATCAGGTCTTCATGCTGGGTTTGTGAGCTCCGGTTGTCTGACTAGCCGAGCCACGATGACGTCACTTCCGCGCATGCCTGCGGCAGTCTCGGGCCACGGCACAGTGCTCTGAAGGAACGGCATGGGTTCCCTTAGAGCGCATGCGCTCGCTGTCAGAAAGAGCAAATATCTCCTAAACAGTGCACGTTTAGGAGATATTCATTTTACCTACCTTTATTATAAGCCTACCCATAGGTAAAAGATACAAAACCGGGTTTACTTTAACCAGTATTTTGGTCAGTGACCAAAACAGGTCTGCAGGATGGGAGTTTCAACATTCCTATGTCTTCAGTAGCTGCATGCTTGTTGCTGAAATTGAATCAAAGTAGTGAGCAGGGGCGGACTGACCATTTGGAAACTCGGGCACTGCCCGAGGGCCCAGGGTCAGTAGGGGGCCCCATGAGATGCCCCTGGTACCTTTTACATAGGCTTTTTTGAGTTTGGGCAAGGACACAGGGGCCCCATGATCCCCTATTGCCCAGGGGCCCCATGAGTTGTCAGTCCGCCCCAGGTAGTGAGGTCAGAGGCTACCAAGCAACTAGCATTTTGAGAAGAAGGTCAACAATGGCAGCCTCCTTATTTTTCGATGTGAGTCTTCCTTTAAGAGAATCCTTTGAAATGATGCTCTATCTTTCTAAATAGTTAGGTGTAAGTATTTTAACTGGAAAAATGTCTACATCGTCGCTGTAGCTGTTCCAGAAGATAAAGCTATGTTTTCTGCTCCTAATTCTATAACTTCTCAGTTTAAGGCCCCTAATGGGATTGCGTGGAAGAGACATTTCTGTACTATCGAACGCCCAAAGCTCTTTCACTGGCGGTTCAGAACAACTTTCTGATATACACGTTCTGGAGTTCAGCACGTCTAAAGACAGGTTTAATCCACACAGGGCAATCACAAAGCCAATCTTTCCTTCTCGCTTTCCGTCCTGTTATTGCAGTATTAGGCGGCTGAGGAATCCCGCTTCACTGGAAGACGGGAAAGCAATCTGCTGATTAACTCAATGGCCAATGTTTATTTCCATTATTTGATATCATCAGCCTACTGTGTTGTTTGTGTGACATACATTTCTGCCTCAGCTATGATAACAACACTTCTTGTTGGCAGATCCCCGGAGTATTCTCGTCACCCAGGTTTACAGCCTGTTCATATGTGTGACATATGGCAGTGACGTGCTGGTTAACACTGAGACAATTCACATTCCCTTGCTGTATGACGTGACCCAATAAATCATTTTATTTTTGGAATTAGCAGTTTTCAACTTTGGGTGGAAAAAACGGCAACTCGGTGGAGTGACTGTCATCAGAAAGAAGTAAAGGGCTGCCACAGCAGGCCCTCTTGTAAAAGCTATGTGCCTGGTTGTATCTAGCTTCAATTTTCTTGAGTCTCTGACCTGGGAGAAGTTAGCTATAGAAGAGTGTCAGAAAGGTGTCAGAATTCCTTATTTCTATATTTGTTTCAGGTCAGAGGCTCCGGAAGAATTGAAACCAAAGCATTAGCATGGCAGTCAGGGAACTAGCACTCTCACTCTGAGTGATGGCAGCCCCATACTTTTCTCATCGCAGAGTCACCATAAATGATGGAACAGGTCATTCATGCTTAGAAATGTTTTGCTGAATTTAATCTGCTCTATTGAGTTGATAATTATCTTGGGAAAATGGCCAGTCAGATTAAATGACAACTTTGTTTTCTAGAACTAGCAGAAGTTAGGGCTCGTTCAAACGTGTGGCAGCCCTCTCCACCCCTCTGAAAGCAATCCACGGTGGACTGCTTTTTAGAGACCATTTGACAGGCAGCTAGGAAGCAATATGTTGCCTTCACACCACCTGTTTTAACCCTGAAAAGGGCAAACCACTACAGCACAACTGGATGCATTGCACGCGGTGGCAGGGCAGTGATGGAGTGGCCCCATTTTCTTCATACTAACTGCCAAATGTTACAGGTAATTTAATTTTTGCATGTGTAAAGCCCTGCTATATTGATGTCATAATGTAATGATATTAATTTTGGGTCCTCATGCATACTGGTCGTTTTAAAAATGCCAGTAGTGCTAGCTGTATAAAGTCACATTAAAATGCGAGGTCTTGTTCATTTTGTAAAGTTTTTGCATTAGCATTTAGCCTCGTTTTTTCACGTTTTCGGTTTTTAGCATTTCTCACACGCCAAAAAAAATGTTTTGCTAACAAGCCACCCAAAAACACAGATTTACCACATTTTGCTATGTTTTTTTTTTCAAAAAAAGCCACAGCCAAAAAAATGCTGATTAAAGCCTATGTGTGCATAGACACATAGGATAACATGCTGGGGAGTTTACTGGTTGCAGAAAAAAACGCCAAAAGCCCAAAACAGAAGCTGTAAAAATGTCCACTGTGCATGAGAACTGAAGGTTATATAGTGCTACCCCCCCTAAAGAGCTGCTGGATTTTTTGGTCTCCCTTTGGCTGCACAGCCAGGCAACACACATTTTCAGCTTGCACCTGCACTCAGTATCCAGTCCTTGGGTTTGTTTTTTATGTTTTATTGAGGGAATATAAACTTGGATGGGGATAAGGGGGTTATGGGATGCCCCAACTGAGTTCAACAACTTGGAGGACAACTTTTCTATGTACATTTGCAGCACAAATGGATCCTAGACTGTACTCCCTTCCAGAATAATTTCAGTCCTTATAGGAGAAGTACAGCCAAAGCTCTGTGTTTCAGCTGACAGTGGGCTGAAGCCAGCCACTCTCCCCACAGCCCAGAGCTATGTTAAGTGTGAGGGGGGGCAAGGGCAAAGCAGAGAGCGGTGGTTGTTAGTGATCCTTGGTCATGTGATTGCTGAGTTCTCACCCTTAGACCCGGACCAATACTGCATCTGCCTAGATAAGTATGATTTGAAAAAAAAAAGGAAACCCCATACATCTCTTTTAATGGATCAGTAGCAAATAACCAATGTGCTTTTAGGAGCTCTATTTCCCCTTAGTAGGAAATAGCAATGTCCCAACTGTATGCAGGAGCTGTATGTCTCCTTAGTAGAAAATACCAGTGCACCTGCCTTCAACTGAGAATTCCCCCACCAAGGGTGGAGGATAACAATATGCTGTCCCTCTAAAAGCTAACTGAATATTGCACTCAGCTGCAGTTTCTTTTGTAGGCTTTGGGGGGTGAAAATTGTAGGAAAACTTTGAGGACCACTGTGGCTACACTGTCTACCTAGCACAAACTCCAGACTGTGTTTATAGGGAAATTACTTTCAACAGACTGGTGAAAACACTGCAAATACTGATCCCAGCACTGGCACATTAGCAAAAGATCATCCCAAGCAGGGGTGAAGGTTGGCAGTAGCTGTCCCCTCCCGAATAGCTAGCTAGGTATTGCACCCGTCTGCCTCCCCCTATAGGCTTTGGATGATGAAAGTAGAGGTACTCACACTGTCCCTTGAAATCCTGCTGCTCTGTAAAGACTGCTGTTCAGGCCTCCTACTCTACAAGTCCTCCCTTGTAATACAGGGTCTTCTGGTGAAGATCCCTCTGATCAAACTGCTCCTTTCCTCCCTTCCTCAGCTCCTGACTGGAGGCAGGGTCTCCTCCAGGCCTCACAATCCTTGACTCAGCAGTCCATTTTCCAACCAGCAACAACAACCCCAACTGGCTAGGCTTTTCAATATTTATTGGCACATCTTACCACTTTGCCAGGCCTCCTGCCTAGAGGGTGGTCAAAGTACCATGAATATTCAGATCCTTGCCCCTGTACCCCCGTCCACTAGCTTCTTGAAGTTTCTGGAAACTTCCAGAACCAGGGGGAGGCAACAGAGGCCTGACCTGCAGAGCCCTCCTGTCTGTCCTGAGCTTGAACCCCACAGACATGCTCACTTTAGCTACTTGTGAGCCAACTAAATTTACCAAACTATGCACACTAGAGGGTGCTACATTTACTTCTATGTGACTTAGAAGTCAGCTTGACTATGTATGCATTTCAATTTCTATTTTGAAACTTTCTGTCATGTTGGGAGGAGTTATGTATTTTATTATAAATTCAAAACCATATATGCAAGAGTGGGTTCTACTTTTAAATATATTTTACTACTATACTAGGAAAAGGTATAAGGGTTTTGCATCATGTCATATATATAAAGAGGACTAGAAATTAACAGTTTCAGAGAGAATACTACACTCTGAAAGCAACAACGCCATTTAATCTCTCACCTCCTGAATACTTGATATTCCTTGTATTCTGTGTTGCTCAAAAAAACAGCTCTCGTGTACATCGTAACAAGCTGAGGAGTCTCTAGTCTTTACTATGAGAGAGATTTTCTAACAGCTGAAGATAACTGAAATAAAACCGCTGACTTCCTGTCCAGTATCCTTATTGAAGAACAGACAGCTTCTTATAAATCTGTTTTAGCCTGAATCGGCTACAAATTTAAAATGAAAGCAAAGTTGCAGGTAGTTCCTACTTTAGACACTTTGATATAAAAAAGAACCATGGCTTTATCAAGGGAGGAGAGAAGTACACTTTGTGGAGGATTACCATGACCTTAGGCTGGATTCACATCTTTGCAATCGTATTAAGCATGCTATCACAACAGACAGTAACACATTTTATAGGTGCCTTGAGCTGCATTGTCAATCACTCTAATGCACACATAGCACCCTCCTCTAGTTCTAGGTTAAATGTAGTTTTTGTCTTCACTGTGGAGCTGTGAATTATTGTTTTGGTCTGTTCTGGGTTTCCTAAGCTGAGAGTTTGAGTCCTCCCACCTGCCTCTGAAAGAAAATTTCAGAGAATAAGATAGGGAGATTCAAATGATCAGTGTTAATGTTTACTATGTCCCAAGCCCTGGAAGGAGGCACCCAGAAGGTGACTGGTAAGGTAATAAATGTTTAAGAAGCATTGACAGAGTGTTTTTTCCCACCTGGGAGGGTTCTGGTTCTTTTGGGGCTGCTGCACCTGGAAGCAGCTTTATTTGAGACAAGAAATTGCAGTGTGGGCCTGGACTGAGGACCTGGAGAAGATTGCCAAAGGACTACATTTGCTGGAGGGCACTATCTTGAAGACCTAGTCTGTAGAAGGAGTTGTTTATATTCCTCACTGAGGATCTACCTGTGGATGCTAGATAGCTGATAGCTCCTGGGACTCAAGACTGTTACTAAAGACCATGCTGGGAACTATTAGATGTGCAAGTGCCAGAAGTGACTGTACGGGACTGTTGCTGTAGTGTTCTAGATATACTGGCCATTCCCTGTTACCTCCAGGAAGAGCTGTTATTAGTGAAATAATTTTGTAGTATCCTGTGATATCCCCTAGACTAAAAGACATCCCTTAGACCAGTGGTTCTCAACCTGTGGGTCGCGACCCCTTTGGGGGGTTCGAACGACCCTTTCACAGGGGTCGCCTAAGACCATCGGGAAAACACATATTTACAATGTGTAAAGAGCAGCTACCATATAGAAAGCAGCTACTGTGTAGAAAGCAGCTACTGTGTTCAAAGCAGCTACTGTGTTCAAAGCAGCAATATTGGAGGTAAAATGACA